GCATTGCGTTTCTCGAGAACTTTATGGCGGCTTTCTTGCCGCTTGCGACGCAGAGTATGTATCGTACGTTGGGATTTGATTGGGCGAGTAGTCTGTTGGGATTTATCGCGTTGGCGTTGAGTTTCATTCCGTTGATTCTGTTGAGGTTTGGGAAGAGCATACGTGGGAAGAGTCCGTTTATGAGTGAAGCGGGGTATGAAGACTGAGTATGCTCAAAGTTTTTGGTAGATGGAAAAGGAGAACACACAATACAAGATATGTCTTTGCACAACGAACATGCGAATGTAAGATGTGTGATTGAAAGAGCGCAGATGCCTTGGTTGTGAGATGTGTTAGAGTGATGGAAAGCAAAAACCCACATGCGGAGGACAATTGGCGTACCAGATGGACCAGACGCGACACCTTCACTTCATCGCCGGAGCCAGCGCAATCGCAGAAAACCTCAGATCCCCCCCTTTCTCAGACTCAATCCTCATCAAACGCCCGATACCCTTCTCCAACGCAGCCGGACTAAGCACATCCTCGTCCTCCCCCAACACACCCCGATCAAGCGGACCCATGCGACCGCCTTCAAGTTCCCACAGGTGCCCATCTCTCGCCTTGACGAAAGCCACAAAATGCTGACCGGTATGCGCCTCCTCGATCTCTGCAGGTGGGGCCGAATCTCCCAGTTTCACGGCGTCGGCGTGAGCCTTCTCGAACGCGTCGGAGTCTTCGAGCACTCTCGCGCGCTCCCAGATGGGCTTTGGTAGCGCATCTTCGCGGATCTGGGCTAGTGTTGAAGAGGGCTGGATGTGCTGTGCGGCGTCGCTGTTGACCAGGCAGTGCACCAGGCCTATGCTGCCGCAAGCGTTTCCTATGGTTTGCTTGAACCATATGACGGGTTCGGCGTCGCCTTTACCCTCGTACTCGGTCTTGTCCTTGTCTTCTGTTGTTCGGGCCTCGTCCCAGGTTGGTGTCAGAGGAATGATGACGAGTAGTGCTACCGCTGGTCGCGGGATGAAGCTCAGCATGTCCGATTCAGTGAGTGAGTAAATGTCGTAGAAAGAGAGTGCTGTCGTGTCCAGACCGAGGTCTTGAGCCAGGTGGTTCATGACCTCTGGGTTGTTCTCAAGGACGTTCCACATCTTCTTCGGCATCTTCTGCGGAGTCTCTTGCGACATTTTGAATGTAGTGTTGGTTGTTCAGAGATGCTGGGGGTTGAGTTGAGCTGGCTGGTGTTTAGTAGACTTCAGGTGTGGAAATGTTAGCCTTGATGGATATGCTGCTTCCTAGGCAGCGATCAGACGCGTCAGAACGACATTCAATGACAGGCAGCCATGCAGGTACGCTGCAGGTAAGTGGAAGGGCGCATAGAGCGGACAAAGGTGGGGAAGGATCAGGCCCGCCAAAAGGGGAAAGGCCCCGCGCTAACCTTGAATTAGGCGCGGCTGGCGGGGCATCAATCAATCCCCGCGGTAGCAGCATCTCATCGAAGTTCAGACAACGCATCATCTCACAAGCTTTACGTATGAAACTGCCTTGTGGATACGTGATGTCTTTCTATAGTTGAACGATGTTCTCCCGCAGTCATCCATTGGCGCGGACATCCGAGCAATCTGTAGGGGATACATGTTGCATCCGCCGGCTCTCCGCAGTAGTGAAGTCCAGCGCTTACATTTGAGCCTCTTCATCCACCACACTTATTTATATGACTGACCTAGAGACTCTCGGCGTATCTTAGCCCATCTTACCTGAAGAACCAGCGAGAAAGACACTCAACTCCACCTCACCACTCCAGATTCCCACTTTCGAACTCACAATGGATGACGAAGCCCGGCAAGCAATGGCAAGCATGAAGATGCCACGCCGACCCATCAACTTTGTTTCCGCAAAGCAAGGCGAAATACTCAAACTAGGCCAAATCACTTGCAGAGTCATGGAAGATGGATCGCGAACAGACAACCGCATAGGCTCCGCAGAGTTCACACTTCCTCCCAACACACCTGGGCCACCAGCACACTGGCACGAGATGCACGACGAGACGTTTCTTGTTACCAAGGGAATGGTTCGGGTACGTCTATACCTTTCCAACATTTCCTTCCCGCTTTACCGGACCAAATCGCTAACCCTCAACGCAGTTTCACGCACCTGACGGCGCCATACAAGATGCCTACGTCGGAGACTACGTTACCGTACCCATCCGCGCACCCCACACCTTCTCGAACCCTACAAACGAAGAGTCCAAGTTCTTCAACACGTATACCCCCGCGTTCTACATCGATTACTTCAAGACCCTGGCTGAGATAAGTAAGACGGATGAGAAGATGATGAAGGAGAAGAACATCGAGGTCATGGCGCGGTATGCGACACTGCCTGCGCCTGCAAAGGAGATGATGGAGGAGAAGAAGTAAAGGCTGAGAACAGCTTCTCTGGAATGATATAAGAATAGTGCTAGGAATACAATCATGCGCATGCGGTACGCAGGAAAACAGCTACAAACAGACGCTAGAGCTATCAATACAACGAAGAAGTCATCGCACAAACACCGCCAGGGCCAGCCCAGTGCAACATCAAATCACAGTCGTATCCCCCTCCTCATCCACTCTACAGATACTGCACTCCTGATACAACTTTGCGCAAAACTCCCTCACCGTCATGTCAGCACCCATATCCGTCCCAATAAGATGGTTCTTCATGCAATACCACACCCACTGCCCACCACTCGCCTCATCTCTCCTCAGATAGTTCTCGCCCGGGCTCCACGTATCCAAACTGAATGTTATGCCAGTGAGCTGCGGCCCGCGCGGTACGGTATCAGAGTACTCCGTGCCGAGCATCTTGAGTGACTGGGAAGCATGATACCAGATCCAAAGCGGGTTCCAGAGGGGATCACCAAGGGCTTTGGCGTCGAGCGTAAAGGTCTTGACGTTGGACATGTGCTTGAGTTGCTCGCGCATGCGGCGGCCGAGCGTCCAGGATGAGGATGTCATGGAGCGCGGGTCTGTGACGCCGAGCATGGAGGAAGTTGTGACGAGTTTAAGAGAGCAATTTTGCACTTTGAAGAGCAGGTCGGGGGAAATGTTCCATACCCGGTTGTCCTGTGTTGATGGCGCTGGGAATGCAGATGAAGGGGTACTGGTCGCGGGCTTGTATGTCTGGGGCGTGACGCTGAAGTGGAACGTCTTGCGCTTGCAGATCATGTCCATGTATTCGGAGTACACTTGCTTGTTCGCTAGGAATATCCATTTACTCTCGTGTCGCACAGGCGGTGATGTGGATGTGGATGTCCAGCGCGCAGGTCGCATCCAGTTCAGCGTTGAGCGCTGGATCTCGTTGCGCGCTGGTGGCGGGTAGATGGGGTCGTCAAGGAAATGCTCGTACACCATATCCCGCAGCTCTTGTGGTAGGTCCAGAAACCGGAACGGCTTCTTATTCTGGTATTGCATCTTGCGGTACTTTCTGAAAGCGACGATGCATAGTAGGGGAAGTAACAATGCGAGGAGGGTTATCCAGCCCTTTAGCTCAACGCCAGCGATATTGTATTCTGCAAGCCATGGCTGCCAGCGCGACAGCTCGCTCGTCTTTATCGATGCGGATGCCATGACGATGCTCATGGTAAAGTGTGGGGTGCCGTGTCATTGAGCGTGCCTAGCACGCTAGCGGAATACGTGCGATGCGAGGAACACGATGGTGCCAGGGGGCGCTGTCCAGCTTCCCTCATACAACGGAAACAGCGCGGGACTACGGGTATCGCGCGATGCTGAAACAATAGTCCTGCCTTCGTATACGGCAGTATCCAATCGCCGAAGCGTTCTGATCGGTCAGATGACAACTCCGAAGGGTGCCGCGTTGTTTGACCGCTCGCACAAAGGGATCGTGCGCACACGCGTGATGCAAGACTGCGCGATGAGTCGAAATGAGTTGAGGGGTGTATGCAAACAAGGGAGGTTGTGGAGGAATGCGCGAGGGGGAGATTCGCAGCTGAGTAAGATAATCAATACTGATGCCTTGCGGATACGACTGATGAGGCAACCTGAAACGGGTCGCCTTGCGCCGCAGCTGCTAACAACGACATCGCCACGTTGACACTATCGTCAGGCGGCACCGCGTCAGACATCCATCATCTCCGTACCTGACGCACGTGTTCGATCATAGGTCGCGTATATCAACGACTAGGACAGGAAAGGCATTTATTCGAAGACGCGCACGATGGGCTTTTTGTACGTAGAATCTCGTTATTCTGCTAATGCTTGGCTCAATGCACCTTGGAGGAAGGTATATGCTACCTAATACGATGCAAGTCGTTCGACAAGACTTCCAGCGAGTACTTCTTAAGTGTCTCTTAGTGCCATCTCGAAGATTGCTATATCCGACGCTCGATTGGCGACTCAACGCCGGCATGCATCCTACTGTCGATCACTCCTTCCTTATCACCACTACCACACCAATAGTACTGAGATGGCGAACTTCTGCAGACTGCTCAAGACGCTGCTTGAAGCTCATGTCATCTCCATATCCAACCGAACACACAACCTCAACTCGCTCTAGGTCCGGGAAGTTGGTCTTGGTCAGCTCTCCTAGCCAGCTCGTGAGCTTTGACTTGCGGTCCCCGTCATCTGGCCCTGGAGACCTAGGATGAGTGATGACCACACTTCGAATGCGACGAGGTAACAGCTGAGACGGACTGCACCCTTCGAGTCGCTGAACGTTGTGGCTATCCACCAAACCACATTCTGCAATCTGGATCCGCTGTAACTGTTCGAAGGTTCTGACGTCTAAGCGAATCCTTGTGGTGTCGCTGAACCGTACAGGCTTTGCGTACGTGAACATCAGATTCTTGACTGAACGTCCGCAACTAAGCAATTTCCGCACGATGTGTGGATCATATGACCCCGTTTTCTCTAAGACTGAACCGCCGATATAGTTTCCGTTGGTCTGAGGAAATCTCGGATGGCCCAGATCCCACACATGAGAACCCAGAGTCAATGTATGGACGTTTGGGAGAAGATCGAGAAAAGTTATCGCTCCGCGGAAGTTGAAGCCATGAGATTCGTTTCCAGCTTCGACTGTGAGCGATGTGATATTAGGGGCTTTGGCGTTGGGTGGCGAGCAACGTATGTTCGCCATAGTGCCTATGCACAGGGTATGAAGCGTAGGTAATGTAAGAATCGCCCAGTCCAGAAAACCATGAGAGAGGTAGATAGATGTAAGCTTCGAGAAGCACGGTAGACGTACAAGCTCTTGCCTGGGAATCGGAAGTCTCTCGAAGACTTCCTGGTTGGCCAATTCGATAGAGCAGAGATAGTCGTCCAGAGCGGTAATAGTCAAAGAACGCAACTCGGTAAGACGAGCCAGGAGATCGCAAGCGAGTTTCTTTTCACTCACGTTGACTACATAGCTTCCGGGCTTGATCATTAGAGAGACGGGTGACACGCCGGAATACATTAGCTGTGGATACTCGACAGGTGTCGAACGTGGCAGGAACCATAAGTCCTGGACTTTGGTAGCCAGATGAGGCTTTTGTTTGATGGTCCAGAGAAATACTGCGAGACCAGACTTGGTGGGGCGGCCACACGTAGACTTGTGTTCCCAATCCTCGTAGGTTGGACGAAGGTCGACAACGCGGTAGAGGACATCTTGCGCTGCCTCAGTGTAGCGCTTCGAGGCGCGTGCTAAGGAACACAGACCCTTGTTGTCCAGACTCTCGGCCACTTGTATCAGGGTCTCGATGGCGCATCTATCGATGTGGCACTCTCCGGGTGTCGGAATGGAGGGGTCTTGCATCGCGAGTATACCGAGTGCGCTGGAGAGATCGGCGTCGGGTGTCGAGGTCGCTGACACCGCGGTACCTGAGGCGGGATTTGAGAGCGCCATGACAGTCAATTGAGCAGAAGAGATGATGCAGAGACTGGTGTTGGAAGTAGCTCGGTAGTGGTAAGTGGTGAGAGACGAGGCGCGCTAGTGGTAGCAAACACGAGAGCATGGCCCAGAAGGGAAAGTGCGTTTGCACACCTTGTTCACCTTCACCACGAGGATACGAGCGGCAACTACGTGGCAAGATACTTTTCGACATTAGGTAGAGTCGAGCAACAAACATATGACCAGATCAGGTTGAGAAGGGTGTCATTTCTATTTACAGTCCGGGTTGAGTTGAATGGTATCAATGTGGAAGAGTGATTACTTCACCACCGTAGATTTTCCGAAATCATTCCGAGAGAGGAGAGTGTAGCCACGAGCCATCTCCGACTGAACCCATCTTTAATGCTTCTTTATACCGTATCGAATTTCTAGCTCATCGATACGTCGTGAAATATCCTCTAACTCTTCAGTCTGAGTGTGAGTTTGCTCTTTCATCTTTTGAGTTTGCTCTTCAGCTTCTTGGGTTTGCTTTTTGATCTCTTTGGTCTCTTCAATCAACTTCCGTTGCTCTTCTAAAAGTCTCCGGTGCTGGTTGCGAATGTAGATTGCGGGCCCCATACCCCCGTATGCCATAGACAGAATGAACAGAGAAGACATGTTGCAGTTCTTTAGCGCTGAAACGTTGGGTGATACCTTTTGGGTTAGCAGTATACAGTGCCAGAGGTGGAGTACCTACGGATAACTTGGCTTCAGGCGAGGAGTAAGAAGGGCTTTCTAGCAGTAGCTTTTCGTGCGTATGAGCAGTGTTCGACGATGAACTTTCCTAACGGAAGGGGACTCTGTTCAAATACTAAGGTGGGTAGACCGAGTTGCGCTGTTGCCTACAGGCTATGTAAAGAAGTGTGACATGTTAACCATGGTACACAACCACCGGAACTGCAATCAAGACCCTTTGCGAACCTCAAGCACGGAAACCACCACGGAAAAGTCACGTCATGAAGACTTCTGTAAAGATAATGCATTCATTTCTTAAACATTAGAAACTACCAAATTATTAGGTATTATCCTCAACAATTACTTCCTCCCCCTATTACTGTCCCAAGGAAGGCTTAGTATCCAAGCTGACCCCTAACAGCACCAGCAACAAACTGCGCAGTGTGCGAGTCAGTGAAGAAGCCCTTGGGGTTAGCTACAATCTGCTTGACATGGAAGCCATCAGCCTGGTCCTTCTGGGTAGTCGGGTTGATAACGCCAACGGTGAAGGGACCCTTGAGGCAGCCAACAGAAGTACGGCGGTCATCGGGGCCGGTAGGGTTGGGGAAGGCCTGCGAGATGTGCGTTAGTAATCGTGTCAAGCATGCGGAATGCAAGAGGAAAAGGAGGTAAACTTACAAGTCTGGGTGGTCCAGCCTTGCCCTTGACAGCCTCGTGGATGTGAGTCGCAGTGAGCGCGGGGGACTGGTAGTCTCCAGTTACACCGCTGAGGGTGATGTTGTAGCAGATGGTGTTCTCAGCGATGTTGATGCCGTATTTGAAGAGGCCCTTGGCGCCGGGCTGACCGGGTGCAGGTGCGCCGGTGTTGGCGATGACCTGGTCGGGGGTGGCCTTGACGACGTATTCGGCGTCGAAGTAGAAGAGCTTCTCGTTCTTCTTCCAGCCGTTGTCCTTAGCGTTCCATTTGGCGTCCCAGTCCTTCTTGCAGTCGGTCTTGTAGTCGTGCTTGCCGGCAGTGGGAGCGGCGAAGGCAAGGGGAGCGGAGATGAGAGCGAGGAGGGCGGGGGTGGTGAAATGCATGTTGGATGTTGTGTGTGTAGCGGGAGCTGTTGAATGGTATGTGGATGTGGTGAGGAGGATGTGAGATGCTGATGAGGAATAATTGAAGCTATCCTGTGCGGTCCTTTATACACATACGGCTCTCCGCTTCACCATCAGAGCTTAACTTCATTTCCTTCTTGCCCTGGCCCGATGACATCGGTGGACGACGCACTGCAAGCATGGATCGGTGGGAAAGACTCTTGGAGATGGACACTGGTGTCTTGGTGAAATCTTCAACGTAGGTTTCGCCAAGTCAACAGCATGATTTGAGATAATTTCCGCCATGGCCGAGCCCGTACATGCGATGTAAGGCGTGACCCGCGGTATGGGTAGTGGTCTTGGTATCTCCATCTTGCTGACAAGAACTTAGACGGAAGGAGTGAACCCCGATGCGAGGCTGCCGCCTGCATGAATCTGGCCAACGAGAGTTGAGCCCATCAGAAACCTAGCATGTGTGCCCAATGAGCAGAGCGCTCGAACGTGCCGTAGAAGACGCCGTCCACCGTCTTGGTAACGGAAGATCCCATACTTTTGCAAGGCGAGCTTGCATCCATCAAGCCCACGATCGCCCCCAAGATATCGCCTAGCTATCTTGGTGCGGGTAGAGTAAGATCCGTAGTCTTACCCCAGCTCCTGATCGGGCTTACTCCTTCACCAAGTCTTCCTTTTTGAGCCATGATCTACCTACCCGCGTGGCTGTGCTGACAGAAAAGGACTACATGCCCAAGGCGCTAGCTCGCGTTGGCCTTGATGTCGACCAAACGTACTCGTAAGGCGCTATCGTTTCCCCAGAGAATTGAAATAGACCTTCGGGTCTCGATTGATGTTGACGTTGGTGTCCGCAGCGGAGAAGTTTAGTAAACTTCCTGGGTACTCTTGGCTGCAGCGCCGTGGGTGCCCTGGAAAGATGCCACTCATCACTGACTTGTACAGTATTTTGGAGTAACGTTGGTCTCCATCGTAATCTGCTGTAATGCCGTGTATGTGTGGTAAACTGTCAGACTTTAGTTGTGATGTTCAGGAAGAAGAAGCTCCCGGTGCTTCCAGCTGACAGGATGACATCACCAATGTGCCAATGCCAAGACCCACCCGATAGCGGCCTGTTCTCCGCCTTTCCTCCTCACGCTTTCCGCGCACTACCGAATTGACAAGCCGGGGACCGGATCTCTAGCAACACGACGGCCCAAATGCCCAGACAACGCTGCTCAGCCGTACTGGCGTCCTGTTACGTTTTCTTTCAACGATCAGAGCAAAACTTCAAATGATCAATCGGCCTTCGCCAACAAGTGCATGCATTATCACTACGTATCTTTTGAAGAAACCAACTCGCTTGGGAGGTTCAAGGGCCTCTAGTTTCCTACGTGAGGGCTGAGAGATAGAACGAGAAGGATGCTAGCGCTAGATGTGATACACCAAGAGCTTGCTTGGTTGGAGACAAAAAAGAATCTAGGAAAGGACTGCTGGTTTCAGGAAGGGAGCAGTCTAAGTCAATCACAACGCCAATAGTTCACGAAAAGCATGTTAATATCAACAGAAGATTAATATCAGCCTAAGAATGTAGCTACGTAGACAAACCGAAAACTCTCAGATCGTACCGCTCAGCTCTCTTCATCCTTCCGCACTACTCAAGCGATATCGACACAAGACAAATGAGATATCAGCAGATCACTAAATGCGCCAAGCTCGAAGACATCGATCGTGCTACCCCTAGAAAGCGACTGCGCGCGTTGGAACTGCAGGTGAAGCGGGTGTCCTTGGTGATGGAGCCACGGAGGCAGGCAAAGAGCTCTGCGACGAAGCTGAAGAGCCAGACACTCCAGGGGGCGAATTCTCTTGGGAACCATCAGGCGTTCCATCGCGACAATATGCCAATTTTCTCTCCTCTGAGGACGCTTACAACAACTCATGCGCCTTTCGGTGGGACAACGCCACGGACGACTTGATCTGGGGTCTCCACGAGGTAATGTTTAGAATGGCGTATGCATCTGCCTCTGGTAAGTACTGAAAGGCCCCATAAGGTCGTCTCACCCTTCCTTCACAATATGGAAATCTGACAGGGGTATACAGATAACGAGACAGGCCCTGCGTTGACGTGGACGTACACAGGCAGTGGTTTAGTGTACAAAGCAGAGTACTTGGCGTTTTGGATCGCCATTGGCTCTATGCTAGTTGGCTTACTTGCTTCGATGAGTCTACTCTGGGGCTACTGGCATCTGAAAAGGGAAGTTAGCCTGAGTCCTGTCGAGACGGCCCGAGCACTTGCAGAGACTGTTCTCTTGCCGCCCTCGGGTAGCCATGATATGACTGTTGAACAACTGTTGAAGAAGTTTGGTGATCGAAAGGCTAAACAAACAGTGACCGCGGGAGTGGTGTGACGTTTGTCGGGTGTTGAAACTTGAGCTAGATTTGTATCCAGACAAGGAAATCTGTAGAAGGCTGTGAACAGTCACATCACTGTCGTGCGAATATCTCCGTTGGCACGACGAATTCATACATCCCACATCAGTCGCTATCTCCTCTCCTACGTCGCGTTACTACTGAAATTCCCAATGAAGACAATGAGTACAGCACAGTACGCTGCGGTCGCGGCGAAGAGCTCGGCTCGCTTTGCCTTTGTGAGCAGACCCATCGATGCGGCGAACAACAGTGAGAAGACGATCAAGAGGCCGACGTTGAGAAACGTGCTGGACCGAGTGTTGTTCCACGTTATGCGATACATGATGAAGACAGGTGTAGCCAGCAGAAAGATGATGATGAGCACAACAACCAGGATAGCGATTTTCTCGATCCGGTCATTATGCGTGTATCTCAAATATGGATCCTGGAATCCCTTCGGCGATGTATTGATAAACAACTGATGCCGAGGGGTTAGCATGATTTCCCCCTAATACGCGATCAAGATACTCACCGCACCCATACTCTTAGGTAGTTTGGTAACGGCATGGTCGATCCAGCTATCAAGCTTCCCAGATTCATCTCTTGGCTTCAAAGTGACAAGGTCCTCCTTCATTTGGATGAACAACTCTTCTTGCTCGTTGGACAGGGGTTTGTTGTTCCAAAACCATCTACGGGCGTTTATCCAGTCCCGGTCGTTGGGTCGCTGGAACTCAGCTAGCTCACGTGCTTTAATCAATATCTTGTCGTATCTGAGGAGCCTATCTTCGATTTTGGCCAGGAGTACGGTTCGTTTGCTAAGGATA